GGGATGCCACAGGAAAATCTGTTCGGATCCGCTTAAGACCACGCTGTTCGCAGACAGACTGCGTGCGCATCAGTAGTGCTGGGAATGTGCCTTTGGACCTAACTCTTGTTCAGTTTCGTGGACTATGTGCCACATTAGCCGATATTGTTACTTTGTAAAAAAAAAAAAAAAAAAAAGAGGGCGCTGCCCCGAATTAGTGACGGTCTTAGCTTGTCAGAATAATTGACAGACAAGCTGACATCGTCGCTATTTTGGGAACCCTTTTTGCATTAAGGAGACACAAACAAACTTACGCCGAGAACACTATTGTTATTATGGAGTCAAATTTGGTAGAAGTTAGCTACCCCGGCTATGAGGGGATTAGGACTTATCGCTTTGGAAATGGCAAAACATTTGTTTTTTGGCATTATACCGCAGGCAAAATGGTTTTGGCAAAAGACGTGCCATCGGTGGATGAGCACGGTTACTCGGAAGCTAAACGAACCGGAATAACTTTGAACAAGCGTGACTTGGAATTCTTAGAGTGGATGGTGCGAACAGAATGGTATACTCCGGATCTAGAAGAATCTGATTACACCTACAGACTGAATAAAAATTTGGAGATCAAGTTGAATCCTGTAGCTTCCATGTATACTCCGTCAGTTGAGTTCAGACAACAAGATCGCCAAATCAAGTTGTCTGTATTCACAATCATACAGATCGTGGAAGCGGCCAGTTAAACAAGATGACAGATGTCTGCCTGCATTTGCTTCCTCTATCCATCTAGGAACGGCTATGGCAGATAATCGGTAAAACACTTCTTGAAAATGGATATGTCAGACGTAGATAACCGCTGCAACAGCTTTGTCAACTGGCCATGTACTGAGTATTCCATAGCACGACTGGCGTTTGATGGATTCTTTTACAAGGGCGTGTACGACGAAATTCACTGTGTGTATTGCGGCCATGTTATGGGCGATTGGCCCAATTCTCGGTATAAGCCTTTCTATCGGCATCTGTTTGAGCGTCCGGATTGCCCTAACTCACAAGCACTGGCTGCTGGTGAGGATGACTTCGGTTCACAACATGATTTGCTTTTCGCTGCGCCAGAAATGCAAGATTACAAGACACGTTTTGCCAGTTATGCCGAATGGCCTGTAAGCAAGCAGCAACATCCACGAGACATGGCACACGCTGGATTCTATTACGAAGGAAATGGTGATTGCGTTCGTTGTTTTCACTGCGGCGGCCAAATTCACAATTGGGAAGCAACTGATGTACCTTGGGAAGAACATGCCCGATGGTATCCAAAATGCCCGTACCTTACGGAGACGAAAGGAGCGGCATTCATTGAAGAAACTCAAAAGAAATACGAAAAATCTGTTGTGTCTTGTTGTCCGTGTAGCACTGATGTTTAATACTGACTTCTGCAATTTCGATTTACTATATTGACTATCCAGATCAGTGGATGCTGCTTTGCTGATTTCTGACTGAATAAAACAAAAAAAAAGAGGGTGGGGAAAATCAAACAAAAGAAAGGGGCTAATCATAGACAGTGTACAGTCTAATACGCTATTCGTACACAGTATATTATAGGCGGCATACAGGTTAAACCGATCTGTACGCCATTCGTACACACTATCAGTCCAGACTGATTTGCATATACAGTACAGTGTACAGACCATAATCCGCTATTCGTATACCCTAGACTATAGGGGGCGGTACTCAGGCTAAACCGACCAATACGCTATTGTACACAGTACATGGACTGTACGCTATTCGTACACACCATCAGATCAGGCTGATTTGTACGCTATTTGTATATACAGTACAGTGTACAGACCATATTCCGCTATTTGTATACCCTAGACTATAGGGGGCGGTACTTAGGCTAAACCGACCAATAGGAGAGCCCGCTATGTGTACTACCATCAAACCGCTGGTTCTACTACTTCTCTTCTGATAGAACGAGTTGTTGCTGGCGAACATCTATGACAAGAAAAGTGGAGTAATGCGACAGCATGGCTACAACCACAGAAATGACCCGATTAACCATTTAAGCGTAAATACGGGCATATGGACGGCGATTTCGTCACCACCCAGTGACATGTAGTGTTAACTTCCACTCAGGGGACTGAAACCGCTTATGTGCGCCAGCGGACAATCGATGTTAATTGTTAACTAAGTTTCGACTGTGCCGTCTGTGCGTAAGTTCGTGTGGTGGCCCGAGATGAACGTAGGGAGGCCAAGCGCCGAAATTACAAAATTTTGACAAGCTGTTCTGGCACGCAAATCACGTTCTTATTCCACACTTGTACAGCCACACCGCTGGGGTTCCATTCTTAAATACGTTACACTGCGCCAGTCAAAACGTTGGTAATTTAACCCTTAATGGTCTGACATTGTAAAACTGATTCATCGGAATGAAAATGAAACACACGCACCCATCAGTCAAAAATTTTGAATTTTTCTTCCCGGGTATGCTGTGTAGGTATGTGTAGCATACTAATAACGATTTGTGTAAATTTTAAAACTTAAACGTTCACCAGAAAAACGTATGAATCAAGATGATCCACGTTTCGCCGGAAGTTAAATAACCTTTCGTCACACGGTACTCATATGACATTTAGATAACAGATAAATCCTGGCAGTTGTAAAAATTGTCTCAGTTTCTTATGGGCAAGTTTCGAAAGTGGTACGGTGTGAAGGCCGATAGCTCCGCCTTCATGATTGGCCATTCGCCATTGTGTTTTGCTGTTCTGGGGATTTCCATCCCACACATTGCTGCTGTTTTGACGGACCTACAGCACAGCTGCGCTGGCTGTAGGATCCGATCTCATTAGTCTGGTGTTGCTGCGCCACGGTGCGCGAGTTAGATTTCGGCATTAAAGCCTCAATCCGGGTTCGCCGCTGTTTCGCCGTCGAAGGTACGTGGGCGCCCATAAGGCCCCACGTAACATGGTAGCAGATCACGGTGACGATCGTGTTCCCACAGCGCGCTTGCCCCGCTCACGGGCCACCTCTGAGCTGTGGACCAGATCGCTGCCGATGCAACCCCCGGTATGGAGCTCCATCCGTAGCCCCCCGGGATAAGCCACCTGCCGTGCAGAATGCACCCCGATGCGGAACGCATTGGATGCCTCCACCAGAAAGCGATGGAGATGATGCCGCGGAGCGAGAATCGTCTCCTGCGATGCCGACGGCGGACGCGGCCCGGATTCAGCGGGAAACCAGAACGGATACACCGCGACCAGCAGCACCCACTCCGATCCCCACGGCCGGATCGACCACCAGCATCACGCCGAAGAATTCCCCACACCAAAGCACTGCCCGTATTTCCTGGGACGGCGACCTTTCCCCGGACGGAACAGTGGATTTTCCCCACCGGAGCAGCGTATTCTTGTGTTTGCAGGGTCACGAGCGTACCGATGCCCCAAACCCCTGCCCAAATTTCCCCAGAACGTGACCTTTCCCTACTGAAGAAACTACGGAACTTGCCTGTTTCCGGGTTGGACCCTGGATCTTTTGCGACAGTGCGTTGACCCAATAGGTCGACCTCTGACCGAACCGGAGCCGACCTGACCCGGAACCCGACTTGAGCCGAACCGGATTCGAGCCGACAAGACTGAGCCGACCGGACCACCTTACCTGACCTGTACTGACCGAACCGGACCGTAAGCCGCCCGAAGTGGAACCGTGTATCCGGTAGTAAAGTCAATTGGACGTAGTACAGGGACGGGCCTGTACTACGCCGTGTTTTTTTTCATTTGATCTTATGTTACTTGTACTGCATGCATACTGACATGACTTCATACATTTTCTTATTTACGGCGCATACCGCCATTTTCATGCACTTCGCAGGGGCTCAGTGTTGGACAGTACAGGGATGTGAAGGCCGATAGCTCCGCCTTCATGATTGGCCATTCGCCATTGTGTTTTGCTGTTCTGGGGATTTCCATCCCACACATTGCTGCTGTTTTGACGGACCTACAGCACAGCTGCGCTGGCTGTAGGATCCGATCTCATTAGTCTGGTGTTGCTGCGCCACGGTGCGCGAGTTAGATTTCGGCATTAAAGCCTCAATCCGGGTTCGCCGCTGTTTCGCCGTCGAAGGTACGTGGGCGCCCATAAGGCCCCACGTAACAACGGTTGCAAGTATCCATGAAATAAATTCATATCCGTGATGGTGTCAGGTTTGATGCAGTTTGATGCAGTCAGGCGTTAACGGCTAGAAATATGTCAGGCCATTAAGAGTTAATAACAGAGAGCTGTACAAAAACTATTTCGAAAAATCATGCGCAACCCAAAGGACAAGTACCTAAAATATTTTCTGTGACTCTTTATTACTAGTCAGATGCAAGGAACATTTTGGCCATAATCAGATGATACGCTCGTTTCGGTTTCCCTGCTGCCACCTGGCTAGATTGTATCATCAGCTCTTCAAATTTTACAGTCAGTTGCTTATGATCGATCGCTATACAGTGCAAATTATCACCCAACGTTTTCTTCTGATACGTTGAACAGCCATAATAGCCGTTTCCGGTGGCCGCATACACGACCTGTCCGTAGAACAAGATGTCCGTAGCTCGAACAACTTTGTCGATTGTTGCACTGTCTTCTAGGCCGCTGGTGCACCACGTGAAGGTCACTCTAGACGGAGTTGTCCCGCTGGCCTTGGCTGGCTCCCACCAGAAACCCGCCCCGCCCTGCACAAACAATTCTTCTCCGGCCTCAAAACCTGCTTGTATTAGGGTGTCGCGGCGACGCTCCGTTGGGAAGGGCAGCGGAGGCTTCGTTGTGGCATTCTGATACAGGAACACGCTGGTCAATTCCGTTTCAGTCAAAATACCATTCTGTCGAAGCAATTAATCAAGCAGTACTGCCATAAGGAAACGATCGAAGCAAACTAACCTTAGCGGGACCATTGGCTAACTGACCGGCATCCAGCAACGGGAAGCGAATCCATTTATTAGCACAAGCCAGTCTAGACAGAGTAATTAGTGTAGTTAAAGAAACCGCATTCTAGGTTAGGAATTACTGCGCATCTTTGGGGGCAAACAGCCACTCACGCACCCCAATGTTAGAAGGCCAGTTTTCCGCAGCAAACATCTTATCAGACTCATGAGCAAATGAACCAACACGAGCGAACAAACTGTTTTTGCCACCTTTTTTAGCAGTGTAAATAGACACAAATCGAACTGAGATCCCATTAGATTCAATGGCATTCTTGAGATCCTTGCTGTAGTCATCAAGTGTCTGGTGTCGGGTCGGATCCAAAGGGGGGATGCCATGTAGACAGAAGTCCTTTTTCTCTTTCTCCTTGTCAGCCTTGCTGGTGCGCTTCTGTAGAGTCGACATCACGATGTCTTCCCTGCAGTCTGAACTGGTGTTCCGCGTACCACGTACAACTTTCTTCTTTTTCGCAACAGTTGCCCAGGAGTCCCGCGTGTCCGGCGACTTGGAAGTAGGGCTGTCAAAACACAGGGGAGCAACGGCACTTTCTTCTGGGGTTGACATTTTGCCTTGGGGGCTGCCAAGGGGTGGGAAGTTTTCATTCTCGCTGGCGGGCGTCTTGATGGTCAATCGAAACCCAGAGGGTTGAGGAGATAATCGACCACTTTCGACCGCGCCAGAGAGGGATGTTGCTTGGGTATCCGTTTGCATGTTGACTTTGTTACTCAAAGCGCTTAACACACAGGCAAACTCGTCGTACTTTTTCTGGCTTTCCTGCAGCTCTTTGATTTGGGCCTCCATGATGGTAAGCTGGGATTTCAGGCGATGGTTTTCGTCTACGATTTCAGCAAGGATAGCAGGGACATGCTCACTCACGATCTTGGTAATCATAGGGGGAACCTCGGTTTCGATAAGGTCCGCCGCAGCAGAGTGCTGGCACACGTCGACCAAATCTCTTTGAATAGCTGGTACAAGCGAATCAGAAACAACGCATCACCCAACATCTGACGGCGGTTGACAGCCGACGGCTCCAGACTATTACGCTTGCATCTCTCCGTGGCCCATCTGCATTAACAGCACTGTTTATAATCTCAAATACTGCGAAACTCTTCCATGTCGTTGTGGTCACCTTTCAACGGCTGCATACACCTCATACTCTTCCACATGCAGTGTCTTACGCTTCAGTATCATTGTCAGCAGATCTAGACCGATAGCAGAAAAATCATCCGACGATAAAATGCGGCTTGCGAACATATCCATCCAATACAAACATTTCTCAAGCACATTGTCAGCATGCCATTGAATCGCCTACTCAAAAGATGGTTTATACAACTACCCGGTTAATCTCTGCAATTTGCGCGCTGAAACAAACTAACCTGCTCCGCAAGTGTCAACACCTTGTCGAAAGTTATCCGCTTAGTAACGAATGCGAGGCATTTCTTGACCAGCTGCGGCAAATCGTACTTATCAGCGCAGTTCATGGTCGGAATGGCATTATCCAGATTCAGGTTCTCAACCGAATCAGTGTATATGTAGCTGGAACAGAACGACAACGTATGTACTAGACGCGTAACCAAAACCGTAAAACACTGTGGGATTTTAAAATTCCGTAGACTTTAGGACATAGCGTAAAGCTAACAAACGGGGCATATTTTCACGCACCTGAGCATGTTAGCAAACGCCTCGGGAGGCAGATCCGGAATCTCGATGGCATCCTCACAACTTTCTGGCAGACTGCCGTTGAACATGGTGTCAAACACTGTGCTGCAAATGCTCAGAATGTATCTGGAAAACAAGACCAAGACGGATATCATCAGCACCATAACTGCTACGTATACGAGGAGCATTCGCTCACTTGTGGGCGGCGAACATCTTCACGGTGCCAAATTGATGCCCTACAGCAAACCGCACGTCGCTCATTCGTCCACTGGATAATGTCTTCGACAGACAACTGACGATACTCGAGTCAGAATCGCGTCTTTCAACACATTTTATTGGCATAAAATTTGTGGACGCCATTCTAATTCTGCTGTTGCACCTGTCGCGATGGGGATGAAATGTACAGACTACAGAGCCACCGATCCGACAGGCAGATGGCACAATGGAAGGAAGGGAGCCTTCTTGTTAAACAAGCTTTACAAAAAAACCAACGATAACACACTTCCAACCTCATAGAACACGATAGCAAAGCAGGTGAATTTAACGATTCACACGTTTTTATCCAGAAAGATCACACAGAAAAGTTGCAAAAGTGGAAAAAACTGAAAATTCAGTTCATCCGCAATGTGCACCAGCATGGAAAATTCGCAGGCTGCCAAACTGCACCGGAACGGCAAAGGGGTGTACATGTACTGTATGTACGAGTAGTACAGTAGTACTGCATAATGCATATACTGATCTTTGACCAAGCCGCTGCATGAACATCACTGCCGGCCATTGTGATTCTTGCAATTAAGGTCGTGTGACCGACCGTTCGGCGACTTTGTACTTTGTAGTGTCCGCCTTACACGTGCTGGTATTAGCGAAGTCGATAAAGCTGCTGACCGCTTTGTACGAGTATCAATGATCGAAAGCCTTTCGACGAAAGGCTAGGCACCTAGACGATCATGGTTGCCGTTTTCTACTGCCGGATTTTCTATTGAAAAGACTTCTTTTGCTATCATACTTTTTCTTTTGCTTTTGCTGTTGAAAAAACATCTTTTGCTATCATACTGGAGAATCGGCATTCGTAAATTTCCCCAACAATAATTTAGTTTAATTTCTTAAGAATTTCTTGGTAGATGTTTGTTACTCATGTTTCAACCCGCAGCATTTTATTTCGGAGAGACGTAGAAAACGAAACGTCGTGTGACGTATCTCTTTCGCAATAAAAAGTGTGCATCAGTTAAGGATCTCTCAGTCTGTGGGGTTCCTCTTCCAGTTTCGCTAGCATGAACCACAATCCGGCATTATGCACAAGTCCTGAGCGGTCCGACGTAAGACCAGGGCTTATCAGCAGCCTTAAGCTATCGCTCGTCAGTGGAGATCTAAGTGATGTACAGTTCCTGGTCGGACGGCAGTTTGGAGAAGCGAAGATCTTCACCGCACACAAGTAAGTAATTACTCACAACTTCACAAGTCACAACTTAATGTGTGACGGTTAAGCGTCGAAGGTAATTCTTGTGTTATCTTGCAGGTATGTTTTGGGTCTTCGAAGCCCCGTATTTCGTGCCATGTTCTACGGAGGTGTAGCTGAAAACTGTGAAAAGCCCATCGATATTGCTGATGTTCTCGTGGATGCCTTTGCCAATATGCTAAGGTGTTGTTTGCAGGCTGGACCTTGTGTTGTTTGCAGGCTGGGGACGGTTTTTTACTTGTAATATGTGGACTTCAGTTTTCTCTATACCGACGCCGTGGATGGGCTGTGTTTGGAGAACTTCATCCCGACGTGGATGTGTGCGGACAAGTACGATCTGCCGCAGCTGGTGGGCATGTGCCGTGACTTCGTCAATGCCAAATTAAGCGTCAATAACTGTTTGACGATCCTCGAAAATGTTCGTAGGATATTTGAGCCCGTATTTTGCATTAGTGCGAGTATTATCTAACACGGAGTGTGACTGTTTAGGGAATTGAGTGGCATGCCGAGGAGATTGTCAAGCGCTGCCTGCACTTCATCAACAGATCCGCTGAAAACGTCCTGCAGTCCGAATATTTCGTGAACATTGAACAGAAGACGCTTATGAAGATTTTGCACAGTGATGAGCTTGATGCCACTGAATATGACATCTTTTTGGCTGTCGAAAAGTATGTGAATTGGTTTGCCGCGGATAACGTATTTCCTCAAGCGCATGCCGGCGTGGTAGCAACAGGTTTTATAACATTTGTCCCAGGTGGGCGCTGGAGGCATGCAAGACCAGCAATCTCCCCCCAACCGCCGCCAATCGCCGTCAGATGAAGCAATAAACCACTCTACAAAGAACCGCAAGACGGTGACACGACTACAAGGGCACAATGCCGATGGGCAAGCCCCGTCTACCTTGGCCGGCCCGTCCGCCACCTGTGTACTCGTCAACAGAGGAAACCGCACGAGAAGTAACGCTTCAAACAGGCCGTTGGAAGTGCACGATCTGTATCAGTATAAGTTCGCCACGGAGAAACCGATGCTGCCGTTTTCAACGGAATCTCGCCGACTGTCCTCCTTCCGCATCGGCAACACCGTGCTGCAGTACAAGGAAAAAGTGTATGTGCAGCCTTCCATGTCATGGGCATGGTGCGCTGCAAAAATTGTGGGAGGAGGGCCGACGGAGTTTCGGTATGTGTGGTACAACCCTATAGCCGGCGCATCACGCGAAGGCAGCGCGACCAGCGACAAGATTATGCGTGCTGCCGAATTCCTTAACTGCGGTCAGTCGTTGAGTGCCGTTATTAACGGCAGCAGTAGGAGGGTTACGTACCGTCGGGCCGATGGTGATCAGCATGTGGTCATGCACGATCAGGGAGAGTATGTGGTCCGCTTCCTTGATCTATCGTGTTTTGATGCTGACGTTCGGTTCTTCCGCATTGCGTTCCGAAACGGCAAGCTAAGATTGTGAAGCTTGTGCTGGAAAAAAAACCGGTGAGTGTGTCTGGTTTCAGCGGCTCACGACGTGGTAGCTTGATAAGAATTCTTTTGTAGCCGTATGGAGATGGTCTTCCCCGATAGGACCTTGATTTTAATGCCCATCTTTTTTTGTTGCCTGTTTTGGGTTTGAGTATTTCGTTTTCTGCCTGCCCTCTGTTGATAAACAGTCGGTATTTCTTACTTTAGAAGTCAGGTTGTATCCTTTTGTTACTTGCTGTCCGCCCTTTTTGAAAGTCAAGCAAATACTAACACGAAACAATTACTGTCAGTTTCCAACTGATGACTAAAGTAAAAGATGTTACGGATACGACTTCCGTTATTCCTGTGATGTACACTGGAGCGTACTAATTGTAACATCTCCAGATCATTCGCTGTCTCTAGCCGATCGCATCTTGTTATTGTGGCCAATGCCCATTCGGAATATTCCTGTTGTTCTCTTGTTCTATGTAGACTATGCTGCTGTTTAGTATACTGTATATTGAGCAACGGTGCTGTAAGAAAGTTACAGCTGTTCAGTTCAATAACGATTATTTTCCTTAGCGTCCGCCAGCAGCGTATCTGCATGTTAGGATTTTATCACTGACTTTATGGTACACAGATGCCTGGAAATGGTGGACGCTCATACCGATGTGGTTAAGTTTAGTAGCATCCTTCCAGACACGCTGGAGTTGATTTTACAACGCGAGTACCTTCTCAGCCGAGGAGAACATTATCCACGAGGCTATCGAAAGGTCAGACGGTGGATTTTTGTTCAGCTGGGCCCATTTCCTCCTGGTCCGACAAAAACCCTTTGTTATCCTGATGTACACTGTATTACCGCGAAATTAAGAAACAATTTTGTAAATTTCTCCTATGGACAGGCGCTCGCATTCACTGCAGCTCCGCTGACAAATGACAGATCGAGTTCACACTTCCACATCATCCGGTCACTGTGACACTGTCTGAGCCGTACTGAGCGTTACCACTTGTTAACACGTGAACTGTTCATATGAAAACCGTTCGATAATTTCGCAGAAATACGATAAAGTTTATATTGATGTCAATATTGTATCTGGGAAGCGGAGACTTGTATTACCAACTACCTGGAAGCTTCTGCTGCCACCCGACGCCAGATGCCGGGTTCGTCGTTTTATTTGATCAGGTTTCCTCTGGAATCGTGATGCTGTACGCAGCTGTTTTTGAATTAGGCAAAAGCCATCAAGAAACAAAAGGGGCACTCGCTTGATATTATGTCACGTATTCAAAATAAGGAGTTTAATACGACGCCAGTCAGTATGAGAACTGAATAAAAACCAGCAGGAAATGCTACTATTACATGTACAAGCAAGTGTTGCTACAGTCTACAGATATACGAGGACACTACATACTACTCAAATGATTCACAGTAGAAGTTAAAGTTATGAAATGATACGGAATTCGATTTAAGCAGAAGCATCTCTGTTCAAGCAAAATTGGGCTGCTAACACGAGAGGTCCCCCATCGACCCAAAACAAAAAGCAACGCCGTTATAATGGTGACAAATGCTGATGTAGTCGGAAATGGTTATAATAGAAGAGAGCCGCCACGGTTACTCGAGTCCACTCACCCCCAAAGATTCGCAAGCGGCTTTATGGCGCAGGCAGGAGGAAAAGAAAGCGCAGCGCCAGGTGAGACAACTTCGCCAAGCGCATTTACTTGAAGTCCCGCTTCCGGCAGCACTGGCCCAGACTGACGCGGGTCAGTGGACTGCGTTGTGTACATCCCTACAAACAGAGAATGCTGCAGCCTGGATGCTGAAGACGTAGACCAGTACTCTGGGCACAGCAGTACACCGCAACGGCCTACCGCCTAATCTCCGTACAATCAACAATGTAAGGCTAACATGTTTAAATTCGCTAGTCGGTTCGCGCTTGAAAATTCGAGTAATAAAACAACAAACAGTGTGCAACAGGCACTCATCCAAAATGCATTAAGGGAAGAGGTATAAAATGGCATAAAATTCATGTGCGTGGTACATGGTATAAAATTCGTGTACATGTACAAAAACTTCCGCTTTCGCGCGCTACCAAACACTGTTTCGCATTGCTTTATGTTATTTAGCCAAATGACTTGTCTACATAGGAGCAAAAACCGTTTTCGCGCGCAACATGCGTTGGAGAGTTGTGGCTCTAAAATATTTCAAAACGTGTAATATATTTAAGTGAACAAAAAAGTCGTTACGGGCAGATCCTTTCCAAATTCGGCATGGGAACGTACGCAAGTGTGAAGATCATTTTTACATTTTTTACATCGCGTCAGAGTTCCAATATTTTGTAAAATTCGTAAAAAATTTGGAAGCTTG